GTCCAGTACGACGCTGGCCCGAGATCAACTCGGTCGCCAGATCCTTCCACTCGGTCGGCCAGACCAACTCGTCCAAGGGCTTGTGATGGCTCGAGACGGCTGAGGGAGGCTGGAGTGCCGGTCGGCCGGGCCTAGTCGACGCCGGGACTAGCTTACGTCGACGCCAGTCGTCTTGCAATTCCGTCGGTTCGGCACGTCGACACAGACGTCGATGTGGAAAGTGAAGATGCAAAAGCAACTGACGCCGGCTGAGACGAGTCCGGGCCCAGGCGTAGAGGTGGACGGCGACGCGGAAGAGGAGGACCGAGGCGATGCCTGAGGCGAGGCAGACGAGACTGGAGGCGAGAAAGTAGTGCCATCGAAAGTCGGCCTCGCAGAAGGCGTCGGCCAGACTCCGATTCATTCCGTGCGCTAGAGCGATGTGGCTCGCGTTGCTGAGGTTGCCGCCGGGACCGCCGTGGATGGGCTTCGACGGAGGCATTCCGCGAGGCCTCGTCAAAACTGAACCACCGACCACGCTTGCGCCTTCAACCGGTAGACCCACAAACTGGACGCGGTGTTGCTGTTGTTGTTGTTGTTGTTGTTGTTGTTGTTGTTATCTTTGTTGGGGGTGGTGGTGGTGTCAGGAGTGTCAAGACTACTGACATTTTGTCAATTTGCACAACGAATGGGAAAAATTTCAGTTCAAATGGTCCGTAAAAGGTGGAGGGGACAGGAGATAGGGGGCTGCAGAAGCCTGCATACCCCACGTCTAGACGGAATTAGGTCCGAGGGTCTTCCGTGCCGACGACCTCTTGAAGTTGGCAGGGGCTCTGGAGGATGGCGCCAAAACTCAGCGGGTGGTGTGGGTGTGAGTGTAGCCAAAAGGCGGCCGTAAAGAAGTGAACGAGAAGGAAGAGCAAAAAGAAGAGATAGAAGAAGAGGAGGAAGAAGATGAGGAAAAGGATGAGGAAGAAGAAGAGGAAGAGGAAGAAGAGAAGGAGGAGGAGGAAGAGGAGGAGGAGGAGGAGAGGGAAGAAGAGGAAGATGAAGAGTATACAGAAGAGGAAGAGGAGGAAGAAGATGATGAAAAGGATGAGGGAG